TGTAGAAAATTTCATCACGATCCGACTCTCCTTTCGAAAGTTATCGGATAAACGGACGGCCGGACGGCCGGACACACTGACCGATTTTAGTAGTGTACTCACTTTTTGAGTACACAAAAAACAAGAAAGACGAAATTTCAACCTTCTTAAAAAAAGAAAACATCAGTTGTTTGTGATAAATAACAAAGAATTGGACAATAGGTTATAAATTATCTGAAATAAAGACTTCTTTTATCAATTTATAAGAAAAGTTTTATGCTTTATATGCTAACTGTTTCCTACAAAGATTTCTTCAGTAAAGTTAGCCTTCACTTCCTCCACCACCGAATACGATATTAAGAAAACTTTCACAAAATATTTTTCAAGATTTTTCGTACTTTCTTTATCTCGAAAGCACTTTAAAAGAAAAATAAACAAAAAAAAACAGCTTGTAAAAACACATCGAGGGATATATCATTTATGTATTTTTAAAATAAAAAGGGTCTTCCATAGAAATTTAGAGTAATCATCCTTTTCAAATATTTTTTTTTGTCAATCATATTTTTGAGTCTATAAAATAAAAAAAAATTCATTTTTAAAAGAAAATAAATCATGCCCATATAATCGATTTCATACATTATACTTATAGGTAGACATAGAATGCATGGTATATAAAACTTTTTTTTTGCTTGTTATGTCTAGTCATTCTGCTAACTTTTAACATATAGTTATTTCCATCATAGTAAATAAGGGTGTGGGTGCGGGTGGGTGTGGCTGTGCGTGTGGGTGTGGGTCTTCTCTCTCAATACACCCACACTCACACCTATACCCACACCCACACTCACACCTATACCCACACCCACCCTCAAAATCAGTTTGTTCCCCTCATGCTAATTGCATACTCATCCGAATATTGCTTCGAATCTCAATGATATCAGATATCTCCTGTGTGATGCTGGACGGATAGTTGAAGGTTTTGTATATTTTGAGCAAGCGTATGAGTTACGTATAGCCAATAAATGTACTAGTCGAATCGACTTGCAGACAGTTGCAATAATATGGGAATTGTCAATCATCATCGAGGCAATCAAGCTAGTACTATTGATTTTTATACACGAGCTTTAACCATTTATGAAGCAGCATTGCCAGCTGACCATGATATTATCTCAAAAACTCGCAACAATCTTCAATTGGCACAAGGTTTAGCTTTGTTAATGGAGTCGGATTATAAAGTCATGTCAAAATATTAATATGATCAATACTCCCATCATGGAAGTTCATATGTATTTTTTTCCTGTCGAAGGGTAAAAACACGTTGTTTGGAAGGTGAACGTTATTTTCCTTGCGAAATTTTACTCAAATATTTCGAACATTTCAATGCACTCGGTATTTTGCATTTATTTAATCAATTAAATGATCGTCTCAACAAACTTATTCGAACTGTTCCATTGTCTCTTGATTTTGGCAATGTTAAACAATCAATATTTAATAATCAATTATGTATGAAAACGGATGAATGAATGAGATGTATGAGATCATTCTTTTCTTTTTCTATTTTTCAACGAAATATTATATGTTTTATTTAATGAATAATGCAGTATACATCGAAACGAAATGAATAACAGAGACAAATAAGTCATTCATATATTCAGTTGTACATAAGAAGATAATGGTGTTCATCGACAAAAGTTATGACGTTCCATCTTCGTGATTGCCAAAAGTCATTATTTTTCCGAATTTCTGAAGGTAAAGAAATGGGTTTTGCCACTTTTATGGTTACACTGAATCGTTTGATGTCAATGGGTATAACTTGTTCCCATTCAGTCGGATTGATCATGCGTTCACACGATGAAATTGCTAAGATGCGAAGTGTTCGAAGACGAGGTGTATACGCAAGTAGCCATTCAATCGACGAAAACCTCAGACAAACAGACTTTACTGTCAAATGTCTAAGTTCCGATGGCGGAAGAAAAGTAGGACGAACAAAACGTGGTACATCTGAATTATTTCTGAAATCATATGCCACATCCAAATTGAGGCGCCGAAGATGAGACGAATGAGTGAGAATACTTGTGGCTACAACATCTATTTTACTTTGTACGTGACTTATTTGAAGATTTTGAATCGTATTGGACTGTATATGGTTCATATGCGAAGAAAATGTTGCATTAGGTAGAAAACATTGACGCAGTTTGGGATACTTAGAGAGATAGAGAGACCAATAGTTTGAGCGATCAAATGATATAAAAAGATAAACAAGATTCTTTCGGAGACGGCCGATAGGATTTTCAAACAGAAGTTCAGCTGTTTTTTGTTTGATTTTGATTAGAGTAAGCGAGCGAATGAAGACAAAATGATTCAAAGTGAGGTCATCACGTAGCACGAGTTTAATGTACCGATTCATAGATGCTTGAAGTGATCCAATTCGATGTGGATCAACCAATGGAAGATGTCGACCGAGATGGGACATAATCATATTCGAAGGAATACAATCAAGATTGACATTGATATTATGACAACAGGCAAGAACATCGTTCAAACGAGAATTGAGTGATGAAAATGAGAAATACAATGAATACCAATCAAATAGTTCGAATATTTCTATCAGAAGTTCATTTGACATATATTCGAATGTTGTTGTCAACGGCGTGCTCACGGTGAATTGATCAACAACTGGTGCTTGGTTATTCTTGATATCCTCGGTTGTAGACATGTTGCATTATGATTCAAAACAAGAAGAAATATGCTAGATAAATAGATGACGGACTGGTCTGATTATTTCTTTGTATGTGAGTTATTGTTTGTCTTACGGTCATTATATAGATGACCTCCAAAACAGAATTAGACGATAGTTGTTCTTTAGGGTGTAAGTGGGACTACATTTCTATTAGGGTCTATTCGCAACCCATTGGTAACAATCATGATTGTACAGTTGATAATACTTATTTCAATCCCTACAATAAGTTCAGTTCTCTGTAATAGAGGAATGATGACATTCAGCCTTTGTCTTTCAGAGTAGATGTGTCTTGTGGATTGCTTGCAGATCCACTTATGGAATATCACGGTGATCATTTAGATAACGTTGAAGTAAATGCTGATGATAGAGTTTACGTTGGATCAGTTGATCACATCATTTCTCTTGGACGCCTTGGTTGAAGCACGTATTGTTAGCGCTTTAATCGGATTGGTGAATTTCAGACACAATAATTTTTGTGAGCCATATTATAAAAATCAGTTGCAGTCTACAATTTTCAATTTGTCTAAGAATAGAAGAGAGATGAATTACCCAATAATTACACGATTAGAAGATTTATCTGTGGAAGTTTTAATGGAAATATTTGTTTATTTTACAGCTGGTGAGATCTATTTGTCATTCTCTCAATTAAATAATTGTCTTAATTTAATTCTCAACCCAACTTGGTTTTTGTAACACACGAACATTAAAATCCTTCTGTTCTTTCATCTTCTACTCGTTTAATAAAATTCTCGTCAAGTTGTATAGGTCACATACGCGTTGAAAGTGTCAATCCCATTCGATAAATGATAGTAACCGTTTGTTTGAAATTTATCCAACATTGGATAACGAGTGGCATTCTCCTTATTTGAATAACATCGAAAATATCATTCGTCCTGATATATGTTCTCGATTACAATCATTGGTTTTACCAGCTACTTCGCCTGAACTAACACAACTCATATTTCGTGGTGAATTTCTTCGTTTAAGAATCTGTCATCTTGGAAAATGCGAACCAATCATTCTTTCATCATCAATGACTATTCAACAGCTAAATTTTCGTCAATTAACTATACGAGAACAAAATGGTCATGAATTTGAAACAATTTTATTGGCTTCCCAAGTTGCCATTCGATGGGTATTTCGAGATGTCGATATGAGCTTTCCGATGGGTTGACGAAATTGTAATTTTGTTACCCATCGACGACCCCTCGACCTATCGGATATTGGTGATAAATAAAAACAATTTTATCTGTTATAAGTTTTACTGTATTAAATAAAAAAAAATTATGCTAGAGTATTAATTACATTAT